ATAAAAACAAAGCATTATAGATTTTACATTTTGCTGATTTTCAGTCTTAACCTTTATTTACAAATATTTATTTAATTATTTGTATGATGCATTCACAATTCACCATAAAAAAATAATAAAGTAGTAATAAAACAGAGCAATCCCAATATGGTCCTCGCACCATTGGTGTTCGGGCTCTAAATATTTGTAAATAATAATAAAAATATGCATTAAGGCCTGTTCACACTCGGACGAATTTCATGTGCGTTATTCGCAGACGTTTAATGCCTCGTGACTAAACAAAGGGCTCATAAAAGCGTCATTTTTTTTAAAAAACGCCTCGGGTTAATTTTTTTTTAGTTTGACGCACTGCGTCAAAAACTATCCGGCAAATGAGATTGGCGCTTTTGCTCACGTGTTTGGAGCTTCTGAAGTTACAGTAAAACACAACTTGGGGGCGCTCAAACACAAAATGGTCTTGCCGAGCACACATATGCAATGGCGAAGAAGATATACGCCAAGTAGCATTGCCGTCTACGAAATAAGACGAGGAAGATGCAAGGCAAGATGAATGTAGAGCTGCTCTTCTCGTTGGTGCTAGAACATAAATAACTATATGACAAAAACGAAAGCGACTAGACAAATCTTGATAAAAGAAAACTGATATTGAGTGGTATTGCTGTGCGAATTGGCGCCATCAAATGTCAGGGAATGAATTTGCATGTTCACTCGGCTCATCGTCAGGGAAAATCGCTTGGGAGTGCACACAAAAAAACGCGTTGAAAAACGCTGACGAACAACGTGCGCTGATATTTGTCCCGTTGTGTATGGGCGTTTACATTTAAAAAAAAAGTCTAATAAAGCTTTCTGTATTTAAATAAAATTTAAAAAATTGCGAAATCATTAAAAGGTATTTTGTTCTTGAGATATGAGACATTTAATATGCGAGGAAAACGTCTCGATTACTAATGTAACCCTCGTTCCCTGAAGGAGGGAACGGGAGACGTGACGTCGAACATGAGCGTGACTGAAAGGGAACTTCAAGGTAAAAATTTATTTAATTTTATTGTGCACCATTTCCAACAACCTGTAATTTTGTCAAATAATGCAAAAAGTTACAACATGTATTTATTTAAGTATATATTTATTAAAAATGTTCAAGTTAGGATACATAAAGTGCTTAGCGAGATAAGGGCTTTCAATAGCAAAATGTTATGAAACACAATATATAATTTGAATTGTGATCGTAATGACACTGTGTAAAATACATTTTAGAAAAACCTAAATAAATAGCAAAGCGTATAAACACTGTTAGTAGACATATGAAACTGGTTTGAGTTTGTTTTAAGAGAGTTCATAAAAATCCACACGCAGGGCCAAAAGTAGTTAGCTCTAAGTGGGTGTTGTTGACATCATATCCTTGTATCAGTTGCGTCAGTCTCCGCTGTTCTGAAAATGCAGTAAATTAGGCTGTATTCAGGTGTGAGGGTGTTCCAGGAACAGCGTTCTGTTCTGCTCCGCAACAGTTAATGGCTACCTTCAGCACTGTTATTTGGAAACATTCATAAATGACCGCAGCGGATTGCTATTCGCCTTGTCTGTTGATGTTTCAGGCTGCTTAGCAATACCCAGGTATTATGTTTTGTTCACAGCAGACGGAAGAAGATGAGAGGAAATCATCCCATTGTCCTCCATATTCTTTCATTACCCAGCTCTGTTCACCATTATTTCGTTTTTTTCACCCGTCTTCTGTTTACTGAACACGGTGCTTAGGGCAACAAGCACAGACTTGCTTTAATGAGATATATTTTCTTTCGTCATTACTTAGAAACCACATGTAAAGAGTGGGTTTAGGCCCCTGTGTATGTAAGTGAGGAGCGTCGGGCTCTTAGGGGCTGTTTATGGGTGAATAATCAAAAGCACAGATTAAAGGAGGATCATAAAAGAGAGTTTCACTCAGGTTAAATGGTCTGCTTTGAGCTTAATGTGTGTGTGTGTGTGTGCAGACAACGGCTTAGCTAACAGCTATTTTCTGACAGCATTGATAAGCTCAAATTTGGTCCAAAAATGTTGATATTGCTTAAAGGAGGCTCTTTTAAAATAAAAGAGTTCAATCTGCTTTGTTAGCAAATTCAACCCAGAGCATTTATGGGAACTAAGCTGTTGAGGTAAATCGGAAATTAGAAATCACAAACATAAGCACATTAACATATGACATTTAGGGCTGTCAATAGATGACAATGAAATTAAGCATGCACCATTTATATTGTTTAACCTGTTCATTTTGTCATGATTAAGAAAGTAAACCAGTAGGTGAAAATGAAAGAAAATGAATTACACACACACACACACACACACACACACACACACACACACACACACACACACACACACACACACACACACACACACACACACACACACACACACACACACACACACACACACACACACATATACTGTATATATATATTGTATTTGCTTTATTTTAGTTTTACCTGCCATATTTTAACATTCTTTCTTGAATTTAAATTAATTTCCTATTTTATTAATACATTTGAGAGTGTGAAAATCTTAATGAAAATAAGCCCTCATTTTTTATTTGATTTAATTTATTCCTATTAGAGTCGGCAGTGAATTAACAAAATCCTGTAAATGAAAAGCACTTGCACTTGCGTGTGAAGCTAAATCATCCGAGCTCAGAGGGTGTGGCCTATTGCCAAGGCCGTTTCATTGGCTAATAATTATCCAAAAATGGGTGTTGGATTATCATGGAAGATTGCTTTATTATGTTCTTTCCAGCAAAACAATTTAGCGATAAGAAAAAAAAACGAGCAAAACGAGTTTTAAAGATAAAATATCTTCAGATATATCTAACCAGCCTCCCTGTGTGGGCCATTTAACTGGCACAGCTTCCATATTCAACATCCATGGGAAACATTTCACGTCTATGAATATGAGCCTCTGGGATTACAGTGAACAAACACAACCAAAAAGGCAGATGCCGAAATTGCTGTTTAGATATAAGCTAAGAAGTGTTCAGATCGGATGTGAGGCCAAGACAGAATCAAGGCTTCAGACAAAGTTGTCGACGTCTCCGAGAAATGATAATGACGCAGAAAGGTTGTCCCGTGAGAGCGAATCCCGTCTGTTTACCGTCGGCTGGGTGGGCCGACTCTAAGCCTGCTTTATACACTGGTCTTAGGCAATGTTGAATCTTCCCCAGACCATGACAAACACAAGTAATTTGTTTTTTTTTTTTTTTTTTTGAATGACTTCCGATGCAGCCAGGAAGAGCCGGATTGTGTTCTTGTCTACGTATAATGGATAATTGTGCTGTCGTGCTTGATTTATAATTGCTGTGTTTGTTCTATCATGCTTGTGTGAATGTAAATACTTGCATTCAGCTCGCCATCTCCTAAAATCTTACCACAAGGGAGTACTAGCCGACACACAGACTTCAAACATGGTTTCAGACTTACACACTGAATACTTATCTTGCATTTTGGATTAGCCGGTCATTTTAATTAGTCGTTAATTAATATTTTATCATAACATTTACTGACTCTCATTTCGTTTTTAATCAGTATAATTTTTGTTTTTGCTCTCTAAATTATGACTTACTCCCCTTTTTGGAGCCTGGAATTATAAATCACTCCACATCTTTGGAAAATATATACTATATATCTAAAATACAAAAATAAAAAATACACGTACTGCATTATAATGCCATACGTGTATTTTTTTATTTTTTTAATAAAGAGTAGAAGATATGGTGTTAGTGTAAGTGACACATATGATCATATTTACTAATATTTGTTAATATTATTGGTTGGATGCATTTTTGTAAAGTCAAAAAAGGCTATTGGAAATGAATGTGATGTCAGCATCCAAAAAGGTCACCAAGGTCATCGGCAGTGATGATCTCACCTTCAACGTAGATGGCGAGGGTCTTGAGAAGATCATCAGTGTCACATCAGTGTCATTTCTGTGCTGTCATTCTCGCCTTGTCACTTTCGCTTTCCCAACCCGCCGGAAAGACAGCAGTTTCATCATATCGCATTCAAGAAGACAAATGTCCCGCTGGCAAACATGTCAGCTTTCTTGTTTTTGGCGTCTACCGACTGGAGCAACTTGTTTCTTTAGTTAATTAATTAGTTATGACTGATTTGTGTTCCATTATTTAGCAGTACTGCCCTTGTGCATTATTTATTTAGATGCAAGAGAAAGTGAGAATGGAGACTATGAGGGATTTGCAGTTTGATTTCAGTGTTTAATGAGGACAAACAATGCAATCTGTGTTTCAGAGAGAAAAACTGGATTTTTGATGAGTTTGTACAAATTTGTACAGATGAGTGTGTTTTGACAGGCTGAATGAACTAAATTCACCCCCTTTGGGTCTTATTTGTCAAATCAGCATAGATTTATGCATACAACAAACAAACAATACAAAAACAAAAGTTGGTTATACAATTATATATCAAATATTTATATACATTTAAATAGGTTATGCGATTATTTAAAGGGTTAGTTCACCCAAAAATGAAAATGTCATCACTCAAGTCATCACTCACCCCCATGCTGTACCAACCCCGTAAGACCTTCGTTCGTCTTCGGAACACAAATGAAGATATTTTTGATTAAATTTGAGAGGTAGATCAATGCCACATAGGAGGGATTGAAACTTGACAGGCCAGAAAGTCATTGAAGAAAATGTTTTAATATTCCATGTGACTACAGTGGCTCAAATTTAAGTTTATCAAGCGACGAGAATACTTTTTGTGCGAAAAAATCAACAACAAAAATAACGACTTAATAATAATAATGATTATTAGAGTGTAGTTATTGTGAAGTGTCACCGTACTAGTATTCCGCAGCCCATGCTAGTCTGTTATAGTCGAGGGCTAATGAAGGGTGAGAAATCAAGCTGAGAGGATCCATTGAGACACTGCTAGTGAATTGTGCTTACACATGGTTCAAGAGTTCCTGGTTTGACCTGGTTTTGTGTTTGTCTGAACCAGCATGTCTCTGCTGAACCACGACTGCCGCCCCAACTGTGTCATGATCTTCGAGGGCAAGAGACTCACGCTGCGAGCTGTTAAGGTCATCAGACCCTGTGAGGAGGTACAGGTCAAACCATACACACTCACATACACCTTGTTTCCCGCTCACCTTGTCTTTTTTTTTGTTTTTTTACTCTTTTTCACTCTCATACACCTTATTTCCCGCTCGCCTTGTCCTTTTCTAAATTACCTGGGACATGAACTGGCTTTTTAATGTTCTTTAAATTGTTGACTGTGGTCACCTTATGACGTTCGCTTGGTTTTTACATAAAAAAAAAAAAAATAAGTAAGTAAGTAATAGGCTATTTTCGACTCTAGTTTTGAGCCCAGCTCAAAAACACTCGGTTTTTATGGGCGTCTCGCATTGAAGACTTGGAAGTAAACGCCCACTGCTGTGAGTGGATAACAGTTTTGCATATTATAATGAGTTTCACTCTCGAACCGTTTGTCATCACGAGGTAGGTATCTATGTTATTTAGCTATGTGTGTAATGCGCGAATTGGTGGGCGGGGCTAAACCGGGCGTGTCGAAGTAGGCGTTGATCTTCTTCTGCGGGGGTGGTGTTTTATCCTCTTTGACGTCATAGTTCCCCACTTTGAAAGAGTCGTTTGCTGAGCCTGGTGTCAATAAAAGCTTTTATTGGACTAACAAGGACATTTTCAGTTCTGAAACTTACAGGATATTCTTATAATATGATGACCTCTTATGTCAAAAGCTCAAGGAAAATTTGATTTCTCAGTTCATCACCCCTTTAAAATGTATTTTTCCAGTAATGTTCAATTTAATTTTGACTTCAGTCAATACAAATGTTTTCATTCAGTTTCCCGTCCCATCCACACTCCATTGACTGAGCCAGAAACTCTCTGATAAACAAAGTAATATTTTCATAGAGTCATGGAGCCACAGTGTTTTACTTTTCAGCCCACAAATTGTAGTCGTCTATTCATTTTAAACCGCGACAGGAGACAGTATTTTAACTTCCAAAAAATTATACACATCACACCACATTTTCTCAGTTGCAGGCACTTAACAGAGCCCCTGCCAGATTAACTTCACCCTAATTCAGTCGTCCCGTGAATAAATCTAAAAGCAACATCCTACATTTACATTTACATTTATTTAGCAGACACTCTCATCCAGAGCGTCCTGGAGAACTCTTTAGCAATCACTCCCGACTAATCAGAGCTCATTTAAACCTATTTACCTGACCGCACGCATCCATCACACATCCAGCCAGAATAACTAGTAGAAAGCCAAGAAATTCATATACATTTACACCTGAATCCATTCGGCTGATCTGTGGAGGGATGTGGTATTTCGCATTGGCCCTGTTCGACACGCTCGACAAACTCTCATTATTCGTCCGTTCTGTTTATTTCTGCTCTGAAAGTTTAGATATTCCCAAGTAAATCATGCAGTCATGCTTAATTTCCCTCTGACAGTGGGAGGAAACGCCGAGAGAGCAAAAGCGAACTGGAATGAAATTACCAGCAAGCTCTCTGTACACAGGATGTAATGAGAATTCACACTATAGGTGTACGATATGGCAGAATACACAAGTGCTCATCGTCCCACAGAAACTGTTTACACACACACAAACACGCATGCATTTGCACGGCACAATTATAATTCATACACCCACACACATCTGCACACTGTACACACGGCACTGTTTGCCCATAAGGGTCGTACTCATTTTGGATCGGTTTTTCGTTTTCTCCTCTTCCGGTTTCTGTTGCTTTCTCTATTTGCCCATCTTTTCTGTATGTACTCTACTCTTTCTATCAGTCCCGTTTTCTCTCTCTCTCCGCTTCACTCAATAACTCATTCATTGGAATAACTGTTTTCAATTATCTCCCACTCTCTATATTTGACCTCCCCAAGAGAGAGTTTGGAAATGGAAAACAGTTGTGCTCTGTGCAGTATATGCTGTCATGCATACTTTTTATTGTCTTTGCTTTTCTTTCTCTTTTTCTTATTTATTTTTTTTTGTTTGTTTTAGATAACAGGTGAAACAATATACTACATTATTATCACATGACCCTACAACACAACATTGCATATTTAATTTAGTAAGTAGTGTGGTTGTTACATATTTCATCCAATTTTAGGGAAAACAGTCTTTTTAAAATTCCAATCAAATGAGTCAAGATGGCGATGTAAAGGTGAAAATCATGGTTGATGTTGCTTCTGATTCATTTGTCATGTTAGACCGATGGGATGAGACATTTTTATATGTATTTGAAAATATGCAACAAAATGGCCAAAATATATAGCTAATTTAGATTTACATAAACGCAATGTAACAGAACACAAGACAACATAACACAATTTGGTCAGATTTTTTTTTTTTTTTTTTTTTCCTGTCTGGGGATTTTCAAGCACATTGCATTGTGGGATATAGTATTCTATGCAGCGTTCTGTGGTTTTATACTGCACATTTTAAGTAAGTGATATATATTATACGTATATCTATTAAATATATGATTTGTCATCTTTTTTGTCACATCAACTTGTTTAGATAACATAAAATCTTGAGTTTCTGTTGATTAAACCAATCTTCTTCATTGTATTGACTCAAATTTATAATTTCAATGAACTCAAAATTGTAAGGCAACCAGTTACTTTTTAAGTTAAATTAACAATATTTTTTCTTAAAGTGTATGCAACTCAATAACAATAATAATACAATTGTTGATACAATTTAGAATAAATAGTCTCTCTTTATGGCTAACACATAAACACAAACAATGCACATTAAAGCAAAGCAAAGACACATTTTTTTTTTTTCATTTACATCCTGCAGAATTGGAAATTTACGGCTACAGTAAATGTTTTTCATGTTAGCTCAGCAGGCAGACTTCTCATTATTTGAGACTAAACTGCCATAAGACATTGGCTCTGTTCCAAACCCTAGTGAGCAGCATCTGTCTCTGCTGTCTACATAGGCAACTACTTTCTAAGGCTTAGAAAGTAGTTTCCTATGTATCCTTACCTAAATGAAGGCTTTGCGTGCCTTTTTTTTGTTTGAAACACCCTTCATAGATAACTCAATTTTTATTATGCATATTTTTTTATTCTATACTTTTTTACCCAATAAAATATATAAATAATTAGTTTGAAGCAGTTATACAATATACTACGTAGCCCCTAAAGAGACCTTTATTTTTATTTTTTATATACTGGTAATATACTGGCATTCAAAAGTTTGGGCTCTAAGTTTTATTTATTTATTTTAATTTTTTTTGGGGATGGAAATTAATACTTTTATTTAGCAAAAATACATTGAATTGATCAAATTGACAGTTTTCAATTGTTACAATATATACTGTGTATATATATATATATATATATATATATATATATATATATATATATATATATATAAAGTATGTGTATATTACAATGATTTCGGTTGGATCATGTTAGACTGTTGACGATGAAGTGATGATGCTATAAAATTCAGCATTACATTACAGGAATACTGTATATTACGGTCTCAAATGTTTTTAAATAAAAAAGTTATTTAAATTTGTCATAATATTACTGTTTTTACTCTCTTATATATATATATATATATATATATATATATATATATTATATTTTATATTTTTTTATATTATATTCTATTTTTGTTTTTATTTTATTTTTTTTAACCTTTATTTAACCAGGAAAATCCCATTGAGATTACTAATCTCTTTTTCAAGGGAGTTCTGGCCAAGACAGCGGCACAGATCACAACAATTCAGTACATTACAGACAATTTTATAACAATTTCACCAAAAACATTCACAAACCATAGATCTCATTTCCAAACCTTATATATACCTACCTATATATAAACCCCTATATATCCAATAAATGACGAATTGGGCAGCATAAGACAATTAAAAAAAAAAAAAAAATTATCGACCACAACTTTTGTAGGGCATGTGCAAATATGACAAAATGTATTTCTAATTCGATTCCATTCATCTTGAATGAACATTTTTACTGATTTCATTGCAATGCATGAATGCATTTTGGGATTACTAATATCCATTTTTCATACATCAAAACAATGCCTAAATTTACTTATAGTATTTAAAATGACTGATTTTAGTGTTTAGTTACCAGGGTTTTCTCATTGCCTAAAATCTTTCAACTAACCATCTCTAATCTCTCCATCTTTTTAGCTAACCATAAGCTACACCGATGTCCTCGCACCCAGCGAAGAGAGACGTTCCCGATTACAGGAGCAATACCACTTCTTGTGTCAGTGTGCTCGCTGTACCGCTGAGGACAAGGTGAGCCGTGTGAACATCCCCTCAGGTCTATCTTTCTTATCCACCCTTTATCCTCATTTTTCCATTTCTTCCCGCCTCATTGTGTCCTGGCGGGATCACTATCTATCATCCCTGTTCTCCTCCATGTTCTCTTTTCCTCGCTCTTTTGCTCTGTGCCTGTCCCACTCAGCCCTCGAAAGCATCTGATGATGTGTCAAGTCTGTCAGACCTGGTCCTAGACCATCACCGGTCTCTCAGCACTGCCCCGGGGAACCTGTCCTCAGCAGGCCCTGTCATCTGTGATCATCACTGCGATGACAGGAGCACGTCAAGAATAAAGCGTAGGATGGCATGCGTGAGAGCGGACGAATGAATGCTAAAGATAGAACGAGGAGAGATGGGAATTTATAGATGAAATGTGTAATTTTTTGGATGTTAAATACTTACTTTGTATTTTCCACCATACTTAGTATGCACAAACACCTATAAGTAAGCCATTTTGATTGATGATTCCCAGAAAATTGTAAGCACTGTATTTTTCCACTTGCATTTGGTGGAAAAATACAGTTCTATATTACAAATTTGTTTCTAAAACAGCCTGTGTTCACATACTATCCATCCAAAATAATATGCAAGATTAGAGTTAGAGTAGTTCACTTAAAAAAAAAACTTTTGCTGATAATTAACCCCCTGTCATCCAAGATATCCATGTCTTTCTGTCTTCGTCGAAAAGAAATGAAGGTTTTTGATGAAAACATTCCGGGATTTTCTCCATATAATGCTCTTTAGTGGGAACCAAACGGTTCAAGGTCCAAATGAGAGTTTCAGTGCAGCTTCAAAGGACTTTAAACGATTCCAGACGATGAATAAGGGTCTTATCAACCGAAACGATCGCTCATTTAAAAAAAATAAATACAAAAGTTTAAGTTTTATAAGCACAAATGGTCGCCTTGCTGTTCTGTGATGCACGTTCGTGACTCACCTGTTCAAACTCGTTCATCAAAATGAACGATTCTTTTCCTGAGTCACCTCATTCATTTTGTTCATTGAATGAACCAAATGACACGAAAAAAGATTTGTTCATTTTGATAAACGAGTTCGAACAGGAGAGTCACGAGCGTGCATCAAAGAACAGAGCAAGGCGAGCGTTTGTGCTTATAAAACTTTAACTTTTCTATTTAATTTTTTTTGAATGAGCGATCGTTTCGCTTGATAAGACCCTTATTCATTGTCTGGAATCGTTTAAAGCCCTTTGAAGCTGCACTGAAACTCTCCTTTGGACTTTGAACACTTTGGTTCCTTAATTTCTTTTCGACTGAAGAAAAAATGACATAGTTATCTTGGACGACAGGGGGGTGATTCTCCTACCCTATCTCACGACCAATTCATACAAATTCGTACGTGTGATTAAAAAGTGGCTAATTCGTATGACCTCACTCGTACGAATTCATACGATTTGTCTAACCCACATGATGGTTAGGTTTAGGGGCAGGGTAAGGGGTAGGTCATTCGTACGAATTCATGCGAATTGGCCAATTAGTAAAATATGTACGTTTTAGCAAAATCGTACTAATTTGTACGAGTGAGGTCGTATGAATTGTTATGAATTAGCCACCTCCTAAAATTCGTACGAATTCCCGTGAGATCGGGTTGGATTATCAGCAAAAGTTTTTTTAAAGTGAACTACTCCTTTAACGCATCCCAAAGAAGGTGCTGGGGGTTAATTTTGTGGAAAAAGGGATATATATGAAATATGAATTTTTAAAACATTGTAAACAAATTTATTTTTGCTGTTATTATTTTAGAAATTCTGCTCCCCTCCAATTGAAAATTACCAGCCCGTTCTCATCCCAAGGCGTCGAATATACTAACGCTTTTGACATTGCGTCTACATCCAACGCACTTGGCACTCTTTAGCGTCAATATGAGACGCAGATATTTATGGGCCACAAGGCGCCTTCTAGTGGTCTAACCCTAACCCTACCCCAAACCTAAACCTACCCATAACCGAAGCGTGTTATATTGATGCTAAAGGGTGCCATGTGCGTTAGATTTATACGCATTGGAAAAAGCGTCAGTATATGACGCCTTGGGAGAAGAATGCATTAAAATGACACACTTCACCTTTAAAAGAAATACTTTACACCCAAAAATGTAAAGTCCGTCAATATTTGTTCCAAACACGGAACAATTTAAACAAAAGTCATTTTCTTTACTTCTGCTATGGGAGCTTACATAGAATAATAAAAGGTCATTGTACATTTTTATCTCAATTATGAGAAAAAAAAAAGTCATACTAACAGTCATGACTCTTTACAATGGCATGCACTGTATAAAGGTCATAATTCTCACCACTCACAAATCTTAAAGCTGTTTTATGGAGTTTTTGTCTGTTGAAAGTCTTTTTTTTTTCCCCCGGAAACACGTTTCGTCAGCTGAACAATCTGTATGTTCTTAACCCTTAAATGCGTGAATGTTTCGCCAATCATATTCGGGTCTTTAGCAACCCAGATCTATATATACATGTACAGTAGTATACGGATGGATCTCTACCTATTGTGATAATATAAAACTCCATTGACTCTTATTATCGACCTCATTGAATTTCATTGAAAAAAAAAAGGAAAAAAAAAACCTTTTTGAAATAAAGTAATAACAGAAAGAAGAAAGAAAGTCATAACAGGTTTGGAATGATGTGAGGTTGAGTCAATGATTTACATTTTTTTGTTGAACTATCCCATCAAATGCATGTGTGAGTGACAAAAGAAATATGGCAAGCCGTTTTGGCTTTTAATCATTCCTAGGATATTAATTTTTGATTCATCAACAAGTTAAAAGGATACTTATTGATGTCAGGACATTACATGTTATAATGGCTATTTTTTTATATCAGGAGTTATATTTTCACTAGTCAAAAGGGCTTGCCATAAAGAAACAGAACTGGTGTTGTGTGTGCTCCAACATGTCACTGGCGTACACAAGTTCCTTCCAGGCTTATGTTGTGGTTATTTTGCACCTGCATGCCGGCATACCAAGCTAAATAACTGTGCACTGAGCTCAAGAGAAAGAGGCTTTATCCTGCTGTTAACACCTACACAGCTGCTCAGGCTGACCTCTGCTTGAGTCATCTGTCAGATATCTGCAGATAAGAATAAACGCTCTTGCTCAGGGCTGCTGAGATGGAGACTTGGGTTTCAACCCTGAATCCAACAGTGGAAGAAACAGTGGAAGCTTTTTAAGCTTATTTTTTTGATAGGTTTGGGGTTGTTAGGACAACTGATATGTGTGGTACTACAAACTCACATCTATTTGTCCAAGCATCTGTTTCTTCTATCCATCCATCCTTTAATCAATCAATCAATCAATCAATCAATCAATCAATCAATCAATCAATCAACTGAATGCAAGTCATTTTTGAATAAAAGGTGAATATATAGGCACCAGAATATCATAGAGACGGAGTATTAATGAAATATTAATTTAATAAATGATTGAAAATATTTTTATTTAAAGGTAAAATGATTTATTTTCTTCTATGCCTGTACTGGGATCAGTAAGATTTGTTTTTAAAAGTCTCTCCTGCTCACAAAGGCTGCATTTATTTGTTCAAAAATACAGTGATATTGTGAAAAATAGTATAAATTAAACTATTTTTTTTATCAATTTAATGCATCCTTACTGAATAAAGATATATATATATACAGTATATATATATATACTGTCCCCAAACTTTTAAACAAAAGTATATATAGTATTTATTTAATTTCTGACCTTAAAAAACTCACATTCACACTCACATTTTCCAAAATACAGTGTAAAAAAAAAAAAAGTTCTCCTTGTTTTTGTTGTTCAGCACATTTCTTATCATCACACTCCATCACATACTGTCATTGTCGTCCTGGTAAACCCTGCGTTACGGGGACAAAATGGTTATCAATATCCAAAGTTATCAATATCCAAAATGTTTTGGTCCCCTTGTTGAAAACAGCTTACAAATCAGACTAAATTATGTTTTTTTGAAAATGTACAAATGCAGATTTTTTTTTTTTTTTTTTGTAGGTTTAGGATCGGGGATAGATTATACAGTTTGTACAGTGTAAAAATCATTATGTCTTTAAGTTAAGTCCCCAAAAAACATGAAAACTTAATATGTATGTGTGTGTGTGTGTGTATTAGGTAATTACAGGTGAGGTTTGTGAAGTGTGACACTGATGACACTTTGATGAGAGGGATTTGTTGATTCACCACCGGCTTTGCGGTAATCTGACAACCTGTGTGAGTTCAGTAGGACATACCGACACTCTAAAACAATAGAGCAGCTGTATGTGCAGTTAAGTACAGGGAGGGGTTGCTCAGGTTATCACCTTCCCAGAATCTCCCAAGACCGGAGATGTGATTCAGTCTGACAGTCAAGTGGGGGGTCACAGATGTTACTCGGTTCATAAAGGACTGTCTTGTCATACCGGTCACGTCTCTGCTTTTTTCAGTTTTTTCAGTGTTAAGTGTTCCTTCACATTTGCACCATATCTCTAACAAAATTGTGTCCCATTTCTTATAGTATGCAAAAGAGGTGTTAAAAAGAGGTGTTAAAATGCCACTTTTACAAGATTTCTGTTGTCCCCAGAGTGTGTGTGTGTGAGCACAAGTTTGAGCACAAAATACTCCACAGATATTTTTATATAGCATGTTAAAGTTGTAACTTTTTGAGGGTTTGCAAAAACGCACAGTTTTGTGCCTGGCCCTTTAAATGCAAATGAGCTGCTGCAGAGGGCGGGGTTTCAAGAGCTTGCATGTGTTACAACATGTAGAATACAACAGGACGTCTCTGAATGGTTAGTTGATGAATTGATGTTGCTCATGTGGAGTTAACTATCTTCAATTAGGATATGCTGTAATGTAATCTATAAATTGCTCATATAGGAACTGTTGTGAGTTGCACACAGAGTGACTTTCTATTGCATGTGAAAAGATGGATGAGCTGACTCACAAATGTACTCTCATACAACCACTCTTCCTCTTCTCAACATGGACTGTGTGTCCCGGGGGCGGGGTTTATGCATGTTTATTTAGGGTTGGTGATGTCACTAACCCTGGAAGAATGTCGTGTAGTCCCTACCAGCCATTTGTTATAGTCCTTTTCTTTAAAAGCAAATATCTTTATTTGCTTTGAACCTTGAGCGTTGTAACTTTTGACAATGTTGTTTATGCTCAAACAGCAACACACTAACTAAAGTTAGAAAAGTGAATTCATACTTACCACCCCTTTAATGCATCCCAGAAAGAGGTGGGCATCTGCCGATAATTTTAATTCAGCAAATTAATTTATTGCAATGTCTGTCAACAGAATAATAAAAAAAAAAAATCATATATAATATATGCATTTTTTCCTGGTAGATTTTTGCTGTACTTAAAACGTGCATGTTTTTTTTGTGAATAAAAAAACCTACAACCTGTTGCATAATAAAAAAGGAGTCATTTTTGACAGTTCGGCATGATTTCTTACTACATTCCTATGATGTGCTTTTGTCGGCAAAGTGCTTTTAATGTGTAGTAGGACTATGTGAAATGGGACACATTTGCTAAAGCCTTTAGACTTCCTGTTGCTTTGTTCAGTGGTATATTTTCAAACTCCAGTGCACTATAATCAGTCCTGTAATGAATAACATGATTATTGAATTTACACAATAATAAACAAAGTCTGAACCGCCGTCTACAATTTGATTCCTGACTCACTCCCTGTAATTAGGCTGTTCATGTTAACAAGAAAATGGCTTTTTCATCGAAAAGGAGCAGCAAATATAAAGTTTTTGCATCATGTAGGCTGCATCCCTTTGTGCAAACAACAATTAAATGTTTAATTTAAAGCTTCAAAGCCATTTTATAATTACACAAATCTGTATAAGGGATTTTGACATAATGTGCAGGTAAAAGGACTGTTTTTCTCTTGTGGCAAAACGTGTTGTGTGATTGACAAGTTGCAGTGTGTTTACCATGTTCAACGTTAAGTGATTTCATGTGCAGCTTTCAGTTTATTAGTGATTCTGCAGTGGAAACAGAGCTTTATGGTCCGGTGGAGATTTCTGGAAGTAGCACTCATTGGTGGATGGCCTGTGGGGTTTTGGTCTATCATGACATCCACATTTCGGTCAGCTTTGTGCTCTCTTCCCTGATAAATCATTTATAAAGCTTGCATCGTTTGCATGGACTGAGTGCATGTGGACAAAAACATAACTGCTTTCCATGAATATCTGAATTCATTTTGTCACTAAAAAACTAAAATTGGTTTCTCAACCCTTGGCTGAACCATACAAATATCTCCACACGGCTTCATCATTCATCATCTTCAGCGAGGTTGATGTCCTCACATCGCAGTTTATGTGGAAAACCAAAAATGTTTTATTGTTTTTGCCCAATTCATACATAAATTCATAATGGCCTTTCTCATCTGCAGAACTTGGCCTGATAAAGATGTCCATAGTTTATTCTTTTTGGTATATTCTCATGCCTTGAAGCTTGCAATACATATTTCAAAAAGCCAATACAAAAACCGATCTTTCTGAAATTGTAGCATGTGTATGTCGCATGCTATCTGGTACATGTTGCGTCTATTACAAACGCAAATATGGACAGCATTTTTTTTTTTTTTTCACATCAGCACTGAAGACTTGGAAGTAAACGCCCACTGCTGTGAGTGGATAATAGTTTCGCATATTATAATGAGCTTTAACTCACCTCGTCGATGCACTTGGGGGAATTGTTTTGAAATCGTCCAATGTTGTAAAATGGCAACCGGAATGATTCGGTTCGACCCAGAGTCCGTGTGTTGCACAATTCCTGTCAGATCCAATATAGACGGCACAGCACCGTTCTTTACTCTTAATCGGTCTGCAAATCCAGTCTTGTTTACAAAACAATCCTCAGTGAAATGAAGCGAACAGACTGACAATGTTTTACCTCATCAGCTGGAACGTCATTAAAAATAAAGTTTATCCATGCAGTCCTCTTGGAATCCGGAGGAAGCTGATGCAGCGACTGTCTTCTTCCACAACCAGGCACTGCACAATATTCTGTATTGCTCGGTAGCTTGATCCGGTTTGTCATCACGAGGTAGGCATCTATGTTATTTAGCTATGCGTATAATGAGCGAATCGGTGGGCTGGGATAAACCGGCCGTGTTGAAGTAGGCGTTGATCTTCTTCTGCAGGGGTGTTTTATCCTCTTTGACGTCATAGTTCCCTACTTTGCTGAGGCTGGTGTCAATAAAAGCTTTTATTGGACTAACAAGGACGTTTTCAGTTCTGAAACTTACATGATATTCTTATAATACGATGACCTCTTAGATGTCAAAAGCTCAAGGAAAATGTGATTTCTCAGTTCATCACCCCTTTAACGTACACCATAGGCTGGTTTTGTAAGGGTAAAATGAATGTAGAAAACGAGAGTAAATATGTGCACAGACTGCACACTGAACACACCATGGAAACAAGTAATGCAATGATTTTTTGGGACGATACCATGTTGATAATACAATAGTATTTTTTAATCTTATAGCACCAGATAGTAGACTTACAGTACTATGGTATATAAACAGTTATCAATAAAGGGTAATAGTTATCAAATTGCCATAGTATCTGATACCATCAATATGATGCATCCTAGCTGAATAAAACTATTAATTTCTTTTAGAACAGAACTTAAAAAAAAAAAAAATGACTGACCTCAAAGAGTGATCGAGAGTTATTTTCAAAAACAGCGAGAAATGGCATATAAAGGAAAGATCAGTTTAAATGTTTTGAAAAGAAGGAGTTTAAGTGTGTGTGTGTGTGTGTGTGTGTGTGTGTGTGTGTGTGTGTGTGTGTGTGTGTGTGTGTGTGTGTGTGTGTGTGTGTGTGTGTGCGTGTGCGTGTGTGTGCATACAGTGTATATTGTCAGCAGCGTGACTGTTCACCTCTGATACATCACAGCTTTGATGTCTCAGAGGCACTTATACGTGTATCCCCAGGTGCTACACACACACACACACACACATCTCTCTACAGGGATTTGAGTGTCTGACAGACCCCCCTATGGCTCCGACTTGTCATCACACTTATCCTGAAATAAAGGTGCCCTCTCAGAAACAAGCCCTTTCAGTTTCCACGCACCTCACGAATCTGTAATCCTGACAGCTTCTCTCATTCTCCTTTTAATGCTTTTTGTTGTGTTGTTGTGTACGAATGTCTTTGATGTTTGATGACCCACACACATAAATGTGAACTATAATTCAGTAAAAGCTCAAGCATTTTTTTAATAAAAAAAACTTTAGATTGACATTTTATTAACTATTGATTCACATTTGCAGTGTTAATAAGTTGTTCTTTTGCAACACCATAGCAACCACCCATAACACCCTAGCAACTGCCTAGCAACACCATAGCAACCACCTATTATACCCTAACAACCACATAGCAACTGCCTAGCAACCACCCAGAACACCCTAGCAACCGGGTGGTGAATTTTGCCACTGCAAGCTAGTTTCTAGTTTCATTCATCTTCTCTAGTTTCATTTTGTTGTTGATTTAAATGGAGATTTTTTTTTTTTTTTTTGTTAAAATCACATATCTAAGTTATATGTATAGGAAAAGATAGAAAAATAATTTGATTATAACTTAAAAAAGTACATTTATAAATAAATAATATTTAAATAGATTTTAAAACAAAATTGAAATGTACAAAGTATGAATTTACAGTTCAATTTAAATGTAAATACATTCATTCTAAATACGTAAATCAGTTAGTAATTCAAACCTAATAAGAATTTTAGCAACTTTTTATTGAGATTGTCCATTGGTTTATACTTGCAGTATGCCATTTTTTTACACTATATACTACTATTTTTTAAAGTACATAACGACAGATATACACACATAAAAAAATACGATTGCAAATTAGAAAAAATAAATACATTTATAAGCCTATAAAATATGTTTCAAATAAAATGACATACATTAATAGAATAGATAAACCAACTTTTGATTTACCTTGTCCATTGATTCATACGTGCACCATGTCATTTTTTGCTTTTGCTTCTGTTAAATCAGGAGCTGATTAAAATGATTTGATGTGATATTGTTTTGTAAACAGGACTGTGACATGCTGGCTGGAGAGACGACGGCGTGGACATCCTTAAGAGACGCCCTCCCTCACCTGGAGCAACTTCAGTCTGAGCAGCGTATCCTTCACAGTTGAATCAAATGATATTACTGTAACACTCGGTGAGCGATACGCTGACTGTATCTCAGGGTTTAGCTGGGTGAAGCCAACCAGCCTGTAGCGGTTTTGCTCTGGAAACAACTGCTAGACTCTGCAAACTATGCCCGATGCAGTAGTCATATCAGTTTCCGAAAGATTGAAGTGAAAGGTGTGTGAGGGTAAAGCTGTCAGTTCTGTCTAGCTCTCTTGCTTTTACCCTTTGGACAGGCGTCTGATGTACAAAAGAAAATGCCGGCTGTCTTCCCCTCTGAAATAACAAGCATAGATTGCATTTTGAAATCTGTTTCCCAACTGCTTAACCAGCAAGACTTTCTTGGCCTTAGCTACTGTAGTTTTTGTAATACAGTCCTGCTTCTTTCTTTTTTTTTTAATTATGTCCTTAACTGTTTAATCAAAAGACTGGGAGGAGTTGTTGAAAGAGAGTCAAGCTCTTTTGCTCAGATATGCAGATGTCATCCCGGACAGGAATATCTATGTGCTCAGGCTGCTGGATCTGGCCATGGATGCTTGCATCAGTCTGGATCACTACGAGACGGCACTGGAGTACGGCAATAGGGCTCTGGGTCCTTACAAGTGAGTGTGTGCCTCTAAATCCTGTGATCTGTGTGTTCACTGACAGATTATTCTGGTAAATCTCCAAGGAATACACCTCCATCAAATCTATAAAAGTCCCATTAGAACTGTGACTCACATAGACTCGCTCATGTCTGAAGATCCAAAACAGACAAGTGCAGATTTAGTTCATAGAAACACTACGCAGTACTGAAGAATAGATTCTTGTTGTACTATTTATTTAATTAATACATTTGTTTAAGTTTATTCATTACCAAATGAATAGTTCACTACACTGTAAAAAATGACTTAGAAAAGTAAGTATCTGGTTGCCTTAAATTTTTAAGTTTACTGAAGTGGAAAAATTGAGTTAATACAACGAAGGAGATTGATTTAATCATCAGAAACTCAAAATAATAAGTTATCTGAACTAAGTAAATTATTTAAGTTGATTTGACAAAAGAAAAAATATTGTGAGAACAAATCTTGAAAATATTTTTTTTACAGTGTAGGTCATCATTTACTCACCGTCAAGTTGTTTCAAACTTATATGAATTTCTTCCTTCTGTTAAACACAAAATAAGATATTTTGAGGAATGTTGGAAATTAAACAGTTGATGGACCACATTAACTTCTATAGTTGGAAAAAAAAAATTCTATGGAAGTCAATGGCGTCCATCAACTGTCTGGTTGCATAACAATAGCGTAAGTATCGGATGCCTAAAGGTGCTTGAATCCGAAATTTCCATATGCGTTTTTTCTAGGGCTGTCAAACGATTAACCGCGATTAATCGCATCCAAAATAAAAGTATCTGTTTACATAATATATGTGGGTGCACTGTGTATAATTATTATATACTGTATATATAAATACACACACATGCTTGTATATATTTAAGAAATATTTTCATGTATATACTGTTTATAGATTTATATATAATTTATATTATATATAAATATAAATATTTTACATATAAATAATATTTTTTTTTCTTAAATATGCATGCATGTGTGTGTATTTATATATATATATATATATATATATATATATACAAAATAATTATACACAGTGCACCCACAAATTTTATGTAAACACAAACTTTTATTTTGGATACGATTAATCGCGATTAATCATTTGACCGCGCTATTTTTTTTGCGTATTCGTCATTCGGTGGCTCTGAATTGTCAAAACACCTCTTAAAACGCTTGCTACGGATGCAAAAAACGCAGAAAATCAAAGCCAATTTAAAAAAAAATATGGCGGACAAAAGTTTCGGAGGCAGTGTGTAAATTTCGGACTAAGTGTGCAAGGATCAAAATTATGTTTTTTTCCACTTCTTGGATGATAAAACAACAACAAAAAAGGCATTATAGTATTAATCTCTTTTTGACACAACAGTTTCAATGTTTCAACAAACTGGCATTTTGGGGTTAAATTATGTTTTGGTTTTGTATAGGATACTAACAGATTTATCGTCTCGGGACATTTAAAATCCTTGTACACCCTGCTAGAATATGTTGCCTATACCCAAATACACAGGTTTTTATTGATTTTTTTTTATATAACCTTTATCAAAAAAAGCTTGTTCAGCTGTGTTTAAATGGAACAAATGGATCAATTTAGGAAAGGGCAGACCCCAGGTGACATGCACTGCAGGACGGTATTCATCACCAACTAGCACTGGATCAATGTGCATGACACCAGTCTTAGTTTTGTGCACAGTAGCCACTATAAGACTTCCCGTGAGACGTGTAGAACAGGAAGCTGTAAAACACCAATGGAAACTGGTCTTTTTCTAAAGTGAGGCGTTTGTGAGCGCATTCGTGTAAAGTAAAACAGTATCCTCTGTAGGAGATTTGGTACTCTTCTATTGTGGTGTTTTTTGGGAAAAAAGCTGGTCTCTTTCCCATATTGTTGAGAATAATGCATTCCTTCAGGCTAAACGCAAAGAGATTATTGACTTCAAGCTCCCGCAGATGTCAATTTGTAGCGGGAGTAGACCTCCAGTGATTTCCACTAAAACCAAAAGTAGACAGTAAAGCAGCATTCGGATCAGAGCTTTGGAGTCATTGGACCTTAGAAAAAAGTGAAATTACCCAACAGCTTTTCCCCTGTCAAAGGGAGGACATATGAATGCGGTTGTTATTTTTCTACTGCGCTGGATCCCGTCTTCCCATGTCATCTCACACAAAGCGTGAATACGTTTTTATATTGCCTGTTGGATTCTTATTCTCTATCTTTATACTGCGTCTGATGAATGTTTATGGTGCCGAGGGAGGGCCTCCAATTGCAAGGAAAAGGAAAAAGTGCTGCTAAAATGGCTTTTTAAACACAGAATCGACATTGAGATTGATGGCTGCCAGTGTCACTGCAGTTTCTGCTGTTAGTACAACAAGATAAATGCGCATTATAAAGAAAGATAAATGCAGCACACAAGAATATTTCAATCATTTGGTCATTTTCATTGCTCATCCTTCAAGTGCTGATAATTGCTGCTTTCACAATGATTTCTACACTTGTCTTTGGGAAAGAAAATGTAATGTCTTCTACCCAAAGATTAAAATGGTCAAAAGTGACTATAGTTAAAAAAGATTTCAGTTTCGACTAAATTCTTTTAAACTTCCTTTTCATCAAAGAATCCTAAAAAAAGTTTCTTATTCTCCACAAATTAGCAGCACAACTGTTTTAAACATAGTTAATAATGATACATTTTTGTTATGAGAAGCAAATCAGCACATTAGAAGGATTTCTGAAGGATCATGTGACACTGAAGACTGGAGGAATGATGCTGAAAAATCTATATATTGGAATATTTCACAATATTGCTGTTTTTACTGTATTTTTGATCGAGTCAACTTAGCCACTATGAGCATATGAGACTTTTTAAAAAACATTCAAATATATTTCCGACCCCAAACTTTTGAAAAAGTACAAGTATATGTTGCTTAATAAATGTAAATTTTCTCGAATTGCTGCAACTTTTCATTTACCATCAATGAAGATAAAGATTTTTGCTCTCAGAATGTTTTTTAACCCAACACATCACAGATATACTGTGATGTCTATAGCCCAGATCAAATTTTCCAACTGTGGCCTGATGTTTTTTCCCATTTAATTCATTATCATTGCATATGCCCTAATGTTTTGCTTGAAAATGGGGTTTAAAAGTCATCTGAAGTCATAATCCGTCAAACATTTGGGCAGAAAATCAGTAAAACTCAGAACAAGGCTGTGAAAACGGTTTTGTTTAAGTGACAGCTCCAGTCATCACGTAACACCGGGCTTCATGACATTCCATTACAGCTTGATTCAGTATTCGTCATGCGCTTTTGTTCTGCCTTTCAGAAATTGTGAGGTTCATTATTGGCCTTGTCTGGGATCCCAAATTATTTGTGGAATTGGCTGGTCCTGTGCTAGCTGTGTGAATGCTTTCTGAACAGGCAATTATTAGCAGCGGTCCTTCCCCACCCTTCTCTTGTCATTGAGGCTTCAAGAGGTCTTGAAAGAGATACTGGCAGAGCGACCACCTGACAAAGCAATAATAGATCCTTCACATCACGAGAGAGCTTGAACGGCCTTCCAATCACTTCTCCGCTCGGGAAGAATATTTAATTTGGTTACCTTAAGAAACCTTTCAAAAATTGTTTATCTGTGCTATGATTTATTTTCAAAGAAACTGGTTCCTGTTCTACTTGTTGCATATTAACTAAAGTCGCTGCTGGCTATTGCGAGATAAGTAGACATTTATTTATGCACCGATTCTATTCAGTCAGGCAGTTTAGTGAGAGCCACTGAATTGTTTTAATTGCTCAAGTGCTTAATATATGCCAAGCGATTCATTAGTGCATGCTGTTTTTAGCTAGTCTTCTCACAATAATTAATTTGATTATAAAATTAGAGCTGGAGCTTCTCATTGCTTATGTATGATGATGCTTTTCATTTCACTTTGAACTTTTATTCAGTCTTTTAAAACTAGACTCAGGGATATTCAATGACTTGACAACTTACATAGTGGGCGATAAGTTTGATATATGTATCTCCTTTACAGGGACCAAACAGCCAAGCGCCAAAATAGAGAATAAATTTCCTTTATGGGCAAATAATGCTTGTATGTTTCTCAGACGTCTCTAGGATGTTTATTCCTCCTCACGTTTTGTTACAGGTGTACAATATGCTATACCATACTAATACTGTGTTTGATCCCCTTTCGCCTTCCGAACTGCATTAATTATACGTGGCACTGATTCAACAAGGTGCTGAAAGCATTCTTTAGAAATGTTGGCCCATATTGATCGGATAGCATCTTGCAGTTGATGGAGATTTGTGGGATGCACATCCAGGGCATGAAGCTCCCGTTCCACCACATCCCAAAGATGCTCTATTGGGTTGAGATCTGGTGACTGTGGGGACCATTTTAGTTCAGTGAACTCATTCTCATGTTAAAGAAACCAATTTCAAATGATTCGAACTTTGTGACATGGTGCATTATCCTGCTGAAAGTAGCCATCAGAGGATGGGGACATGGTGGCCATAAAGGGATGGACATGGTCAGAAACAATGCTCAGGTAGGCCGTGGCATTTAAACGATGCCCAATTGACACTAAGGGGCCTAAAGTGTGCCCAGAAAACATCCCCTATACCATTACACCCCCACCACCAGCCTGCACAGTGGTAACAAGGCATGATAGATCCATGTTCTCATTCTGTTTATGCCAAATTCGGACTCTACCATCTGAATGTCTCAACAGAAATCGAGACTCATCAGACCAGGCAACATTTTTCCAGTCTTTAACTGTCCAATTTTGGTGAGCTCTTGCAAATTGTAGCCTCTTTTTCCTATTTGCAGTGGAGATGAGTGGTACCTGGTGGGGTCTTCTGCTGTTGTAGCCCATCCGCCTCAAGGTTGTGCATGGTGTGGTTTCACAAATGCTTTGCTGCATACCTCGGTTGTAACGAGTGGTTATTTTTTCAGTCGAAGTTGCACTTCAATCAGCTTGAATCAGTCGGCCCATTCTCCTCT